AAAAAAAAAAAAATTCTTTTACACAATGAACATAGTGACAGAACTTATGAGAAATCGAGCTATCTTTACATTTTACAATAAAGAGATGATCTGTGTTGGACCCTTTGATTGGAATGTTACTAAAGTTACTAAAATCCAAACTAACTTCTTATTTCCATACCTGAATGTAAACATTATTCTAATAGATTGAACTGGATTCATTATTAAAAAAATAATGTCACTGCATGTTAAAGAATGACTGAACATTAAACTCATATCTGCTCCATTGCAGACGCTTCACAGCAACTACTATTCCCCGTCTAGTTTTGAATCGAATACTGTTAGGTAGGCTAAAAATTAAAGGTAGGGTATGTGATTTTTCAAAAACACTTTAGAAAACTGATTCGGGCTTACCCTGCCTTTAATGTCATAATTCATTGCTGTCAATATAGGCATGAAACTCATATGAAATGTGGAGTGATCATCACTCAATTAAAAGTAAAACTCTTGGGGCCGTTTACACAGGATGTGTACTTGTATTCAAAAACAGCGATTGCAATGGAAAGGAAGGCGCATCGAGATCCATTTAAAAAGCTTGTTTAACATGAAGTAGAGTCCTAAAAATATAGTGTTCATTGTGTGAGATGCTAAAAAAGTGCAGATGGACAAAATGTGGCTTAAAAACAAAAAGAGCATTACAAAATCGATCTGAATGAGAAGTGAACGAGTGAGAAGTGGCGCAGCGATAAAAGTTAGTCTTGCATTTAAAATCACGAATATTTTAAACTTTATTTTAAAGCTTGTATTTTAAAATGGTAAAAATGCATCGCTCATGAAGTGGGATGCTGAAAAATCAATGAGATGTGGCGCAACAGTGCGTTTACTTTGGAAAATAATTTTAAAAACACACTACAGTGGAATGCAAAAATGCATTCTGTGTGAACCGAAGACTTCTGTTTCCACACGTGACAAACATGATTCTAAATAGGATGATTCTTTGGAGACAAATGTTAAACTGAAACCTGCCACCAGACCAAAATGATACACCCACAATAATGAACCCAAACAAACAAACAAAAACACCAATGGATGAGAGACTTCAACAAACTGTTGACCCAGAGTGCATAACCTGAAAATATATCCGACTGCCTGTGCTTGTGAGATTGTGACAGGTTCAGAGAAAGCTTTCATTCCAGTCATAGGCACAATACAAGGACCAAGGAATCCTACAGCAACTAAAAATAGTATGGCTTAGACTGACGTATGAATTTAGACTAGACAGCAAAGCACAGAAAATGCCATTATAACATCAAAAAACGAATCAAATTACAAGAAAACAAGTGCAACCAAATCAATCCATATGCTAATACTGAGAATTATGGTGAGTAACACACTAAGGTTTCAATTCTGTGCCGTTAATCTTGATACTATAACACATATCTTTACTTCTATATCTAAGATCAAATATTTGAATAAGCTATTATAACATTTAAAGAACTTGTCTACATGATGAAGAACATTTCTAACATGACCGTTCGGTAAATAATCATCCATACCAAAATAATATTTAATACAGGCAAATTTTAAACTTTTTCTGAGATGCTAAAGTATAGTTAGCCAGGCTCTTACAATGCAAAGCATCATGGGAATTCAATAGTGAGGTGTCCAGATACTTAAAAATGGTCCTATCAAGGTCAGGACCATTTGGGCTAGGCGAAGAAACGGCAAACTAAAGCAACGATCCAGTCACAAAACTACGTCATACATTCATATGAGGAGGCACTTGTCACAAACAATGGGCTTCAATGAGGGAACTAGAGATTCAACATGCATTAGATTCACTGTATCTATCACAACATGAGACTTCTTCATGTCAGATGGTCTTTTCATGAATGTCAAGCTAAAAGTTTACTACATTTACATTTGCAATCTTAGCAATTCTTCATTCACTGTAAACCTTCAACTCAGTTTAGGGAACAATGTAGTGAGGCTAATGTAGTGAACTTTGGACAAAACAAAATCTTTGGGAGAAAAAAACAAACAAAACTCGAACGGCACTGACATTATACGACTATGGATTTGTGCAAACAGTTCTTTCTGGTGATAAACTATCCATAAACCTGACGTTCTGCATGATTTCTTTTGATTTGTGCGTGTACGTATATCCCGAACCAGCAATATTCAACTAAGTATTCTTGAGATTCAGTTTAGGTCATGTAAACTAAATGGTTTAGGTCATCACTTGTATCGCTCAATACATCTCAAATCATTCAAGAGAACATAATACAATTTTTATGACATAGACCACTGACCTCAGAAAGTACCACATATAAACGAGACAACCCTCGCCTCCATCACTGGCAGTTGAGGGCACAGCGTGCAAAGGGTAATATTGCAAAGGGCCCACAATACAAACCACAACTTATGGACTTAAGATTCTTACCAAATTCAAGAGGAGAAAACAGTGAGATTGTGAATTTGCACGCTGTTTTGGCATCGCAACTGACGTCCTGTGGGAAACTAAGACCCTTTAGGACGGTCGCTGTGTGGGACATTTCACAAGGCTGTTTCCTGCACCGTATGGGCCAGGTTACAAGTAGGCTGGGCGGTTTTCTGTTCTCCTTCCTCTTCCCTGAGCTCGTCATCCTCTTTAGTGTAGGCAACGCCATTGCTCTCTTTCTGGGCCATCTGGTAAGGCTGAAGGTCCATGACTTTAGGCTATAGCATAGGCACAGACATACATAACCATTCATAATAGAAGAAGGAATGCTGTATTTGAAACTGGCTTTTGATTCGTGAGTGAAGCTCAGCTGAGCATTTAAGTGAGTTACCTTGTCATCCAGTGGGGTAACACAGCAGAGTTTCTCCCTGTAGCGTTGGGGCAGAAAGAACAGCAAATTGCCAAGCACAGGGTAAATCGTACCTGGGTTTAACTCGTTCTCCTTCGAGGGCCCTGAGTGTACACAAAACAGAAAAAAAAACATTGTTGCAGCCTAATAATCGATGTTGTTATTGTTAACTAATACTAAAAGTACTAAATACTAAAACTGTTAAAATTAGCTTTTGGTAATTTAACTGAAATAAAACTATAAATATTAGATGAAAAACTAAAATAAAAACTAATGTGTAAATAATGCATACTATAATAGTAACTTAATAACACTAAAACAAAGTTGCTAATAATGTCATTGTATAACCTACACCAAGGACTTTCAAACTTTTGAGTGATTTTTAGTGCCCTTATATAAAGCTGTTACTAAAATATATAATATATTTTTATGTGGGTCAATTCTCTTTTAAATGATTAGCTTCTATATGTCATTGTATATGTCATCACTTTTGTTTTATTATTCCAAAACAACTTGGTTCAACTAGATTTTCCACTCTATGCATATACAGTGTCTTGCGAAAGTATTCATACCCCTTCATTTTTTTTACGTTTTGTTATGTTGCTGCCTTATGTTAAACTACTTTAAATTACCTTTTTTCCACATCAATCTACACTCCATACACCATAATGGTAAAGCAAAAAACTGTTTTTTAACATCTTTGCAAATTTATTAAAAATAAAAAACTAAAATGATTCTACTACATATAGCATATGGGACAGTTGAAATTTAGCTCAGGAGCATTCATGTTGCTTGTAGATGTTACTACACATCAAGTAAAGTTAACCTGTGGCAAATTCAATTGAATGGGCATGATTTGGAAAGCCACACACGTCTTAATAAAAGGTCTAGCAGCTGATAATGCATAACAGAGCAAAAATCAAGCACTGAGGTCAAAAGAAGTCCCTGTAGAGCTCAAAAACAGGTTTGTGTCAAGCCGCACATCTGTTTTTCAGCGGCAGGGACCGAGGGACTCGTCAGAGTAGAAGGAACGCTCAGTGCAGCAAAATATAGAGATAGCCTTAATGAAAACCCAGTCCAGAGCATTCAGAACCTCAGACTGAGCAGAAGGTTCACCTTCCAACAGGACAATGACCCTAAGCACACAGCAAGAGTGGCTTATAGACAACTATGTGAATGTCCCTGAGTGGCCCAGCCAGGGCCTGGGATTGAACCCAGTCAAATATTTCTGGAGAAACCTGAAAATGTGCATCTGCCCCCAACCAACCTGACAGAGCTTGAGAGGTGAAGAGGTGAGGTGAAGAATGGCAGATAATTGCCAAATGCTGATGAGCAAAGCTTGTCGCATCAAACAAAAAA